CAGGAGGCCAAGTGCTGCCTCTCACACATCATGGCCACGCCCACCCAGCCGGTCATTAGGGCAGAGAACCAGTTGTTAAATTATTTGAATCCCACCACTGGATAGAACCAAAGGTCTTATTTTGTAACGAGGTACCAAAATGCAGTACCCTGAACTGGAGAAAGATTCATGGAGTCAAACCAGTGCAAAATAAAAGTGGAACTATTACTTCCTGTGATTTGGAGATTACAGTTCTATCAGCCCTTTGATGTAGGCCAGCTCAGAGATCAGGCTCCACAAAACTGAATTCTGAAAGTCAGAGTGTCTCTCTCTATCTCTCTCTTTATTCTCATTCTCTCATTCTGCCTCTCTCTCTGTGTCTGTGTCTTTCTCTCTCCCTCCCTCCCTCTCTCAGTCCTCTATTCCAGGATGCCGTAAAAACAGAAATTCTAAAATTTCCAATTGCTTCCTCTTTCCTCCTCCTCCTGATGAGTATCTGGCAACAATAATTCCTGTTCCTGCCAGCTCAAAACTCAATTACCACCAAATGATGAATCAATAATATAATGCTGGTGGCTATTAATCAAATATTTAGATATGGCACATTCCATTTTGGAACAACAAATGAGTATAAGCATTGTATGAGAGGAAATGAAGAATAGAGGTGGTATGTTAATGGGGAATTATTTTTTTTAAGAAAAAGGGTGGGCAATCTGTAGCCCATGTGCACTCTCCAACCTCCAGCTTTAGAATCAGCTCTCAAATGTTACCGAAATGCAATTGGCTAGTGTGATTTTGTGTGTGTGTGTATATATGTAGAGAGAGGTTTTGTTGTTGCTGTTGTAGTTCTGACTTCAGTTTTCATCAATGTCAGGGAGAATATTTTTGCAATTGGTGTTGATTAAACAACTTGGGTGAATCTCTGTCTCAAATCTGATGGTACCCTACAACAGGGGTGGGGAACCCCCAGAATTCTGGGAGTTGAAGTTCACAAGTCATAAAAGGGCCATGGTTCCCCACCCTTGACCTACAAGATCATTATGTAGATAAAATGGGAAGAAGAATCTAAATACAGTATGCCACCTTAAGAGCCTGGCATGAATGCAGTTATGAAAATAACTCCAAAATACAACATGTGCTCTGCCATTACTACTCATGATGATTATTTCTTTTATTACTTTGCTGCTTACTGAACACCGAAACAACTAGACACAAGGACACGTTTTTTCCTCTAATGCTATCACTCTGCTAAGCAACTAATTCCCACAACACTGTCAAATAATTTACTAAGACTGTATTACTGTTATTCTTCTCTTCCTTACTAGTATCTATCTCTTCTAACACTTTCCTATTTCTACACATACACACCGACACACAAAGGAAAAGAGAGGGACAATAATGGTTTCCAGCTATTGCAGTTTAAACTGCATCCAGATGTCTTTGTTTTGTTAAAAGGAAGTTATGAGAAACCAGAGAATTGGAAGATGTCAACATAGAGAAGAAATATGTACACCTTCGAGTACAAAATCTCTTATTTGGAATGGGACACCCCAGAGTAAGGGCCAGATTTCCCACTTGGGTGCTATCCCAGTTGAGACTGGAACTCTTGTAGTTCCCATCTTGGAGGGATAGGATAGGACAGGACAGGACCGGACCGGACAGGACAGGACAGAAGAATAGGAGTAGAGTAGAGTAGAGTAGAATAGAATAGAATAGAATAGAATAGAATAGAATAGAATAGAATAGAATAGAATAGAATTTTTTATTGGCCAAGTGTGATTGGACACACAAGGAATTTGTCTTAGGTGTATATGCTCTCACTGTACATAAGGAGAATAAAATACATTAATTGAGAATAAAAAGATACAACATTTAGTGATAGTCAAGGTTACTAATAAGCTATCAAATTGTACTAGGAAACAAATAAAAACAATATAAATTGAAAGATACAAGCAACATGGTTATAGTCATAAGTGGGAAGCTGTGTTTCCCAATAAGAAGGAATACGGGTAGTCCTCAACTCACAACCACAATTGCGCCCAACATTTCTGTTGCTAAACAAGGCAGTTGTTAAGTGAGTTTTGCCCCATTTTATGATTTATTTATTTTTTTGCCACAGTTGTTAAGCGAATCAGTCCAGTGTTAAGTGAACCATGTGGTCCTTAAGCAAATCTGGCTTCCTCCGTTGAATTTATTTGTTAGAAGGCAGCTGGGAAGGTTACAAATGGAGATCACATGATCCCAGGACACTTCAACTGTCATACATCCCGAATTTGGATCACATGACTATAGAACTGCTGCAGTGGTTGTACTTGTGCAAACCCATACTGTCACTTTTTTTTTTTTTTAGTGCTGTTGCAACTTTAGTGAGTGTTTGTAAGTTGAGGACTATGTGAAAATTCTGTGGTTATGATAAATGAAGTTTTTTTTTTAAATTAAACCAAACTTTCACTACTAGAGTCATATTTGAGTCTATGTGTGTGTTTGTGTGTATTTTAATATCAATCACTTCCTAAAGCCTGGTGATGAAGTGGGGCATTTCGCGAAGCCAGAAAATCTCTTAATACTCTGCCTTTGATCAAATTTCTTTTCTTCTTTCTTTCAAAGTTTCTTTCCTTTTACCTTCATTGTTCCATAAGCTGATACTTCCCATTTTTTGTTCCCCTACAGAATCAAAGTGAAACCCTTGCAGTTTGAAGTCTTTTTTTCTTTTTTTCTTTTTTTTCTTTTTTTTTCCTTTTTGGTGTTGTTGTTATGGCTAACCTGAATGAGTCACAAGATGTTCGAGAACCTAATTAGAAAAAAAAAAGAAGCTTGATAGATTTGATCGCATTTGTCCGTCTGACTTGCAAGAAGTGTGTTTTTCTCCTTTTGTCTTTTTTTTTTTCTCTCCCCCTTTCGAAATGTCATCTGTGAATATATAACAAAGGCTTAATTGTGGAAATGTTGAAGCTTTGGTGAAAATGGGTGCATATGAAGTGCTCTTTAGAACACGGCACTGGCTGGCTGTCGGCCCAGCTAACAGGAAAATAATGAAGCTGTTAGCATATGGCAGCAGATTAATTCACTCAAAAGACAATTCCTCGTTTGCCATCGTTTTCAGAGTGGAGGGGTGAAGTGGATTTTTGGAGGAATGAGAAACAAATGTTGGCATATTAATTACCTGACCTCAATTTCAAATTTGTTGGAAACAAGAGACCAGATTTATTCAATAGTATGTGACGACAATTCGAAGTTCAACCTGGAAAAGAGGTTGGGATCAACTTGTGGACAATTGTTACGGGGAACTTCTATCAATTCATTTGTGTATTACTAGTCTAGTTAACATTGAATAAAGACTATGTCGGGCTTTTTCTGACTTGTTGACTTCAATGATTCAGGACCTCAATTCTTTTTGTCTAGGCCTCAATTCAGGGGTGAAATGGTCCCGGTTCGGACTGGATTGCCCAATCCGGTAGCAATGGAGGCGGGTGGTTCGGAGAACCGGTAGCAAAAATCCCTGCCCCCCCCAATTCTTCTACACCTCTTAAAAGGTTGTAGAAAAAATGCTTTTAAAAGTAAAAAAAAAAAGTTAGCCACACCCACCCAGTCACATTAACCCCCCACCACCACCACCAAGCCACGCCCACAGAACCGGTAGTAACAAATTTTACATTTCACCACTGCCTCAATTCTTTGTGATAGGCCTTCTAACCCTGCTCATTTGATAGATATTATATTGGAAGGCTAAGATAGATCATTGTTTGCTATGTTTTATGCTGTGTGAATGCAATTAAAGACACTATTTTAACAACCTGGCTGACCTAACTATATATCAGGGAAGATCATGAGATGGTAATTGCATGAATAAAAGTAAAGGTTATCCTTTAGGAAGATGTTTTGGTGTATCAGAGAAAAAAATTGGGGTAAATAAATAAAAATATAATAAAAAGCTTCCACTTCTACCTTAGAAAAGAGGTAGGTATAAAAACAAATTAATAGAAACACTTGGGCTTGGAATTGAAAGTGATATTTTAGACTTCAGGTAGAGGAGTCAAAACACATCCATATAAATTATACAGTATTTTATATATCAGGGGTTGGTTCTACTTACCTTTACTACCGGTTCGCAACGAGATCATGCGCGTTCGCTTTGCTCGCCCACGTACCTTGCTTCTGCGCATGCACAGAACGCTTCTGGTGACATCAGGGTCAGTGGGTGGAGCCTCCCGCCAGTTTTACTACCGGTTCTATAGAACCAGTCCGAACCGGGGGCAACCCACCACTGGGTTATATATATATATGTATGTATGTATGTATGTATATGTTATGTACACACACACGCACACACATGCGCGTGCGAACACACACACACACAATGGTCTTAAACCAGTCACATTCTTGTAACAATAGAGAGTTGCTAGTATTTTATACTGGGAGGCTTTTCTGAATTGGCTTAGGTGATCTCCAGATATACGGATTTCAACTCCCAGAATTCTCAGCAATTTAGAAAGAATGGAGTTGTGATGGGGTGACCGCCCTTGGGTTGCTTGGCAACACAGTCACATTTATGGCCCTTTGCAGTATCCTGCAGTCATCTGACTGTTTTACATCAGTTTGCAGAAAAAAGCATTTCAGTTTTTTGGGAAAAGCTTGCCATAGTGAATAATGGGTTCATTTAATTGCTGCTGCTGCTGCTGCAAAAAAAAAAAAAATCATAAAATTGGATAGGTCACATGACTGACTGGGTTTATGACCATTGCAACATTCGACCACTCATTCTCCTAATGTCAGGTGCAAAGAATCAGGACCATCTGTTGTACTGTAGCAAAGGAGATTTATTCAAGCATATACACAAGTTGAACTAAAGTTCAGCATTCAATTGGCACCAGATAAAGGTCAGTGGAATTCAGGAGCAGTTGAACTTGGACTGTTTGTGAGAACGTAAGGACTCTAAGCTAATGACACATTTCATTCCACCCCCAGCTTTGCCTACCCTTCTCCTATACTTATGCTCTCATTTGTTTTCTTCTTCCTTTCAGTGAAATACATGCGAGAAGCCACCCCCTATGTGAAGAAAGGTTCTCCTATTTCTGAAATTGGATGGGAAACTCCTCCTCCTGAGTCCCCCCGTTTGGGCAACCCAACCATCGATCCCATGTTGCCACTGTCTCTCAACATCCACCGAGACAAAAGGACCATCCCACTCAAAATGTGCTACGTGACGCGGAACATGGCTATGTTAGATCCAGAAAACAGGTAAGCAAACCTGGACGGGGGAGAAAAACACTCTCTTCCCATAATATTCATTCTTCGTTAATGTTGTGGATCAAGGGCAGGTTCACTCCATAGGAGAAGTAGACAGCAGCTGTTTCAGCAGCTGCCTTTCCGTCCCCCTTCTTTTTCTCTCTTTGCATATTTCCCATATTCATCAGAGAAGAATAAAAAAAGTATATCTTAACTTCGTTGTTGTCCGGAAAGGAGGACAATTTGCTGAATAACAGAATAACGTAGTTAGAAGGGACCCTGGGGGGGGGGTGTCTTCTAGTCCAGTCCTGTGCTCAAGCAGGAAACTCCTTAGCATTTCAGAGAAGTGGCTGTCCAATCTTTCCATTAAAAATTCCAGTGATGGAACATCCACAATTTCTAAAGGCACGCAGTTCCACTGATTAATTGTTGAGGAATTCGCAGAGCAACCCTTGAATAGCAAGGGTGTGCACGTGAAAGCGATTGAGAGTAGTTAGGAAATAACACAGCCAACAGACAGATACACTGAGTTGTGTTTACTTTCAGGAAATAGTAATAAGGCACAGTCCAATAAACAGTCCAGGTCATACACAGATAAAGTAGTAGATAATAAAACAATAGTCCAGGGATAATCCAATAACAAAGTCTTCTTACCAGTTGTCATAGTCATACACATAAACAGTTGCAAATAGTAGCAAACACAGCAGCAAACAGCAAAAAGCAGCAAAGAGAAACAAACCATGTTTCTAGCTTCCTCTTAAGGACATTGGCTACAGAACTAACCAATCAGGACACAGTATGATGCAATACAGCAGTCTTAAAGCTATATTGATGGTTTATATATTGCTAACCCAACAAGTTAGGTAAAATCATTTCCTAACATTTCTCACTGTCAAGAAATTTCTCCTTAGTTATTGGTTGATGTCTATGGAGCTTCTCAGTCATCCTCGTCATGGTTGTCCCAAAGGGGCTTTTTCAAGAGGCAATTAGACTTTCTGTTTTTGTTTTTGTTTTTGTTTTTGAAGACTTTTCACTTCTCATCCAAGCTTCTTAAGGTAGTTCTAGGTTGCTTTCTCTCCTTGATTAGTTTCCATCCATTGCTTCTTGTCCTGCCTTCAGATGCTTTGGAGAATAGCTTGACTCCCTCCTCTTTGTGGTAGCCCCTGAGATAATTGAGTCCTTTTGAAGGTTTTCTAAGTAGACTGCTTTCATTCCAGGACTGAAGCAATGTTGCTTCTGCAACAATAGATGAATATTTCTCTCAAGGCTATCTCCATGGTTCTCTATAGCAGTGTTATTATACCTGTATTAAAAAGCTTGTTGCTATTCTGTTGCCGAATTCCAAGGTGTAGCTTTGGGGGAAGAAGCATTTTCTATTCACTAGCTATGTGTGTGGGTGTCCATTTCCTCTCCTCTTTGTACCTTCTCCATAAAAGCTAATACGGCTGGTCCTTTAGCATTCTGACGTCTGACAAGCTTCTGTCTCCCGTGGCTTTGGGTTTTTTTAATTAAAGAAAAACCCTACTTGTGCAGACAGCTTGCTGCAAAACTCCTTGCATCGTCTTTATTTATAAGATTATAAGCACCATAGACATTCTGTCACAATAATACATGTCTGCAGCCAGTATTTCGTTTGGAAGTGTCCAAACTTTCCAGGAGTTGGAGTTGGAACCCAACAGTAGTAAACTCAGAACTGGTAGTAGGGAGCTGTCAGGCTCTCTGAGTCAAAATAAAAGTGAACTCAGAACTGGTGGTAGGGAGCCGTCAGGTTCTCCAAGTCAAAATTGCAGTAAATTGGGGACCTTCTGACTTTACGTAGCTTGGCTTGATCTAGATTAGGCAGAATTCTCACAGTTAGATCCTGGCTAGATTTTTTTAAAAAAATCTTGCACACCAAAATGAAGTCCAATGAAAGTGCTGGTTATCCATTGCATATCTCAGTGATGACTAACTTTTTCCGGACCGAGTGCCCAAAGCAATGTGCGCACGGCTCCCACGCATGCGGCCCACCCCCGTGCATGCACGTGCAGCCCCCCACATGTGCCCCACCTTTGCGCATGCATAGGCACCCCTGCACACACCCTGCCCCCCACACATGTGCAACAGAGACCCGAAGACCAGCTGGCTGGTGGGAGATGCTCTTGCATTCGCAGCAGAGTTGAACTGGGGCAACAGCTCACATGCCATCAGAGAGGGCACTGCGTGCCACCTCTGGCACACGTACCATAGGTTTGCCATCACGGGCATTTCTAGAGGTCCAGTCTCCATCGTATAACCACGGTGGGTTTTAAATCCATTTCTTTTTTTTAACCCTCTTCTTACCATGAATTAATAGCTTTCTTGCTCAAAGGGCTGAAAGGGAACATGTAATCCCAAACCTGATTTTTGCTCCTAAGGTCTAAAAAGAGAACAAGAATTCATGTATTTCAAATTTCTGTGTTTGTAATATGGTAAGGAATGTGTGTAATTACACTAGTTCAAAGAAATCACATCAAAATCATCAATTCCATCAAATGTGTAATTTTATCACTGTTGAGGATTTTTCTTTTAACTAAGAAATTTATTTTTTTATTAGACTTTTATTCCACTTTTATTACTTTATAAGTAACTCAAGGTGGCGTTCATACATACTACTCCTTCGTCCTTTTTTCCTCACAACAACCATCCTGTGAGGTGGATTGGGCTGAGAGAGTGTGACTGGGTCAAAGTCACCCAGCTGGCTTTGAGGCTTAAGGTGAGACTAGAACTCACCATCTCCTGGTGATTGGCATGAAGTAACACAGCCAGCTTTCATCCCTTAGGTGAGACTAGAATTCACCATCTCCTTGTGCTTGAAGTGTAGTCCTGGTTTCATGCCTAAAGTGAGACTAGAATTCACCATCTCCTGGTGCTTGGATTGAAGTCACACAGCCAGCTTTCATGCCTAAGGTGAGACTAGAATTCACCATCTTCTGGTGATTGACGTGAAGTCACACAGCCAGCTTTCATGTCTAAGGTGGGACTAGAACTCACCATCTCCTGGTTTCTAGCCTAATGCCTTAACCACTAGAGCAGTGATGACTAACCTTTTTGCTGTCGCGTGCCAAAAGTGGGGATCATGCAGGGGGGTCGTGCATGGGTGTGCCTATACCCATAATTCAATGCACCCCACCCCTCGCACATGCGTGCATGACCTCCCCGCGTTACCCCCACTTTTGGCACGCGGTGGGCCCAGTAGGCCCATTTTCTGCCCTCTCCAGGCTCCAGAAGCTTTCTTGGAGCCTGGGGAGGGTGAAAACGGCCTTCCGTCCCCTACCCGGGAGGCCCTCCGCAGGCCGGAAACAGCCCATTTCCCGACTTCAGGTGGGCCCAGAAGGCCCGAAAATTAGCTGGCCGGCACGCATATGCGCGCTGGAGCTGAGTAGGGCAACGCTCGCGTGCCCACAGATTCGGCTCCGCGTGCCACCTGTGGCACCCGTGACATAGGTTCGCCATCACGGCACTAGACCAAACTGGCTCCCAGCATGGCGTTCTTCTTACACAGTTATGTTCAAATAGGAAAAGGGTTGTAGACTACACCGTCATGCACACATCTCTGTCCTTTCACATAAAAGTTCTGATTGGCTGAGTTTTTCCATTGCATACAGAATGAGGTATGAACCAAGGATGCATCAGAAAAGTAAGGATGGTGGCCCAACCGTGCAATCAAAGCTTAATCTCTTTTTTTATAGACAAAAAGGGCAGAGTTTCAACAAGTAAAATCCAACGAGATTTGGATTAAAGTCTCACCACCCACAACTTGGCCATACCAGTTGGACATGCTAAATATAGAATATCTGAGAGCTTAAATTAATGAAGGCCAGTCTGGAATTTGACTGTCTTGATTGAACTCTTCTGTTTTGGCAGATGCTGTGCTTTCATGGCCAATCCTAAAAAGCAAGAAACTGCACTGGGGGACTGAATTCCTTATCCTAATTTGAGCCACCAATCTCTGGGCATTTGCTTACCTGGGAAGTGAGAAAAGGCAGCCTGGGGAAATGAATGGGAAATGAGACTTTGATAGCTCTTTAAGAGCTTCCAGGCTCTAAAAATAGGATAAACTTATTGGTCCTCATCTATAATGTATGGAGAGAGTTGCATCACACCACACACCTTCAAGCCTCTTGTGCGAGGAGAAAATCTGTGAAATTGGAAAAGGCTGATGGGGTCGTTAAAAGGATATCCTTTTTTTTCTTCTTTTACATGCATGGCCTTTTTTGTCCCCTATCTAGCATAAAGGAATCCAAAGAAACTTCCTTAGCATCTAGCACTTCTTCTGCATAAGAAGCAGAAACCCAAAGAATTTTCTGTTTGAGAGAGGGCTCAGCAGAGGTGGTATTCAGCCGGTTTGGACAGGTTCACTCAAACCGGTAGTGGAAAACACGAGTGGGTGGGGGCCACCCACCCCGGCTCTACGCCATCCTATTGAGGCACATTTTTGAGCCAGATGCATGTGCTGACGGCGCATGCGCCAGCAAAGCACATGCATGGAAGGCTGGGCGCATGCATGGATGGGGCGCAGGCAAGTGTGCATACGCACACACTTTTGTGAATCTATAGGGAAAGTAAGTGGATACCATCCCTGGGGCTCAGTGCTAGATCCCGGGGCTACATAGTATGGTTGGAGTTGTCTTATGGCACTGAATTATTGGGATTGGATCAGGTGGGAAAGATCAGGTCCACACATCAAGGTGCAATTAAACTGATTTATTGCTAAACAGCCTATGCACAGGAATCTTCTCAGCTAATGGTTTGCAGCCTGCTTAGAGTTAAATAAGGGACCATGGAATTCTAGAGACTTAGGCCGTTTGTGACTATGTAGGGATTCTAGGCTGATCCCTCTTTTAACTCCTTCCCCAGATTCTGCCACTCCTACAAAGCCTACAAAGCCCCATCCTCTCCCTCTGTAACTTCCAGAAAAATCATCTGTAACTTCCAGAAGAAAATTGAATAACTAAGACAGTGATTGCAGATACACTTCCATTCATTAATAA